ATAAATAAGCTTTCCATTGATGTATGGTTTGTTAGGATAGGACAATATTTGGCCGAGATACAACTATTTAAATATCTGGAATCTGAGGGTGCAAAAAAATCAAAATATTGAGAAAATCGCCTTTAAAGTTGTCCAAATGAAGTTCTTATAATGCATATTACTAACCAAAAATTAAGTTTTAATATATTTATAGTAGGAAATTTACAAAATATCTTCATGGAACATGATCTTTACTTGATGATTTTTTTGGCATAAAAGAAAAAACAATAATTTTGCCCCATACAATGTATTTTTGGCTATTGCTACAAACATACCCCAGTGACTTAAGACTTAAGGTTTTGTGGTCCAGGGTCACATATGCCATTCAATTTTTTTTTTTTTTTTAATCAAGGATTCATTACATTTATCAAAAGTGATAGTAAACACATAAGATTACAAATGATTTATATTTACTTTACATTTACATTTACTCATTTAGCAGACACTTTTATCCACTTACAATGTGGATAAACAAATGACTTACAAATGAGGAAACCAATAGAAGCAATCAGACCAATGAGAGAGCAACAGTATACAAGTGCTGTGACAAGTCTCAGTTAGTCTAGCACAGTACACATGGCTAGGTTTTTTTTTATAGAATAGAACGGAATAGAATATAATAGGTAAGTACTAGTATTAGCTGGTCAGGTGCTGGCGAAAAAGACGTGTCTTTAGATGTTTTTTGAAAATAGCTAAAGACTCAGCTGCTCGGATTGAGATAGGCAGGTCGTTCCACCAGCTGGGCACAGTCCAGGAAAAGGTCAGTGAGAGCGATTTTGTGCCTCTTAGGGATGGCATCAAAAAGCGTCGTTCACTTGCAGAACGCAAGCTTCTGGAGGGCGCATAAGTTTGAACTAGTGAGTTTAGGTATATTGGTGCAGCGCCAGTTGTTGTCTTGTAGGCAAACATCAGTACCTTGAATTTGATGCGAACAGCTACTGGTAGCTGGTGTAACGTGAGCTTTGTTTGGCTCGTTAAAGACCACTCTCACTGCTGCATTCTGCCTTATTTCTAATAAATGCTGTTCTTTTGACATTTCTATTCATCAAAGAATCCTGAAAAAAAAATGTAGAAATGTAGAACAATTTCCGAAAATCATTTCCAAAGAAAAAAAAAAAATTATAATAATGTTTCTTAATAAAGAAATGTTACTTGAGCACCAAATCAGCATATTAAAATGATTTCTGAAGGATCATGTGACACTGACGACTGGAGTAATGATGCTGAAAATTCAGCTTTGCCATCAAAGAAATCAATTACATTTTAAACTATATTAAAATAGAAACATTTACATTGTAATAATATTTTACAATATTACTAATCTTAATATATTTTTATCCAACTAATTCAGTCTTGGTAAGCATAAGAGACTTTCAAAAACATAAAAAAAAAATAGAGAACTTTTGAATGGTGGTGTACAGTTTTTACAGTATATAGTGTATATTTTATTTTATAGTTATTTATCATAATTAAAATGTTTTTAGACAGTTTACACCTCGTACGATCTGTTCTGTCAAGATTTGCAAAAACACGTTATGTAAACCCTAAGAAACTCCCCCTAAGATACGAATTATATTTTTGTAGAAGCCCAACAGATTATATCTGTATACAAAAGTCCAATGGCTATGTTTGTTTCATCTGTGAATGGAATGGGGTGATCCATTGATATCAGCCAAGAAGGCCACATCTGTAGATGGACAAAAAACAAAACGTTGCAAAGATGAAACAGTCAAAAAGACTCCTCCTCATCCCACAGGGGCCTTAGGTAAATCATTGGCCAGTACATGGAGAAACAGCCGTGGTTGAATATCCTTGGCAAGTCAACAGCAGGAAACATGCAGCCATGTGAAAAGTTATGCGCTACAGATCAATTTGCTCTTTTTTTCCCCCAAAAAACATTCCAAACAATCTAAATACCACTCAGATTGTTAGCAGGACAGAATGAGGACATATCCATTGCACAGAACCCGAAGGAATCCCACATAAAAACATGATAATGTGACAAAATCAACTAAAGTCTAACTAGCAGAGCTCAATACAGCCTTTCTTATAAGGGTAATATATTAAAACTGTTTTGTGGAATGACTGATCACATATTCAAACAAGTCTGAAATTTTATGGTCGCAGCTAAAAACACCCCAAGGAATATCACTGGAATTCTGCAATTTAAAAGTTATGTGGGAACTTTCTGAATCATATCCTGTTTAGTTTTTAGTTCAGCATTTTATTTTAATTCATCCCCTCTCACTAACCTGTTCATTACTGCAAAACAAACTGCCCCAAACTGTTACTTTCCTTATCTACCTGAGGAAAGTAACAGCTCATAGATTAAACATGATTAAACAAACTAAAGGCTTGTTCGTTAACTTTTATTGCCGTCTCTAGCATAGACATGTTTGCTCATCTTTGAAGAGCTGCAGTCTATCACATAAGAGTCAAAACAGATATTAAGGTTTCTGGTCAGTAATGAACAGAGCTTTACTATACTACTCATGCCTGCCTGTAATCTGACTCCACAGGCAAATGAAGCTTCTGGATCCACACAAAACAGCATAGCGTTCATGAAGATACAAGTGTTGCATGTACTCCATATGTCCTCTATCTCAGCTATTGTGTGTGCTCCCAAGTATTATCACTTAATAGATCCAATTAAATTGTGGCTGTGGAATCATTTGCCCCGAGACGCACATAAAAGCAGAAAAACTTGATCCATTAAGCAATCTTTGAGCAGACAAGCTATCTTCTGTACGTGGCACACAGGTTGTTTCCTTTGGCAGCGTACACAAGCCCTTGTTTCATATAATGACTTCCTTAGTTTCACTGTTTTCCCCGTGCATGCAGTTTCTTAACTGTGCATCACAATGAGGGCCCGATCTGAGATGCTTTGCTTTTGCTGAGGCAGCAGAACAACAGAGAGCCATCATTTTTCTCTCTCTCTCTCTCTCTCCTTATGCTTCCCACTCCTTTTTCAACATCTGGCAGAGGTTCACAGGCAAAAAAAAGCTCTTCTGTGAGTTTGACCACAGTGACTCTATAGCTTTTTGGGTGTTTTGCCAATCAAGCAGACCTAAAGTGCAATCTGAAAGTTAATTCATTCAGACTCCAGGCAACATTCCCCTCCGTCACTGATGCATTCCAGAGATTTTGACGCCTGTCGGCAAGTATCCAACAGGAAATATTTTGATTTAAAAACCCAAAAAGGAGGAAATCTGCTCTCCTCACACTAATCCAATATGAGAAGAATGTAATCAGGAGTGAATATCTAACTGAAATATGTGGAAAGCAGATCTGTTATCTTGTGTGGAAAAGGCTTTTTGAGGCCACTGTTTGGATGATGAAGACATCTGTCTTGCCTTGAATGTTTTGACTTATAATAAAAAAAGGGAAATTTGTCTTGCCTACACTAATACGATCATCAGAAAGGAGCATCTAAAAGAAAGAAAGAAAGAACTTAAAACTATTAAAGAAAAAACAAACTATGACATTGTTGATGAAGACAGGACTTCTGCTGTCCTACTCACAATCTTAAAATGGGACAAGTGTCTTTCTCACACCAATACAATCTAACTGAAAGAAAGAAAGAAAGAAAGAAAAAGAAAAAACTATGACACTGCTGAAGATGAAGACATCTTGACTTGTTCACAGGATGTCACCTTACTGACTCTAAATGTGTTGCCAATACAACTCGTTTATCATGGAACAGAGAAACACTGTGACTATTTGAACTTACCACTTCGATAACTTTTAAAACACCGAAATGTGATTTGATATAGTCCAGGTCACACCTGATGGCCCTGAACACGTTTCTGGAGTGCACGGGCTCGGTGGTCGGCTGATACGGACTATTGGCTCCTGAAATCATCGAGGTGTTGGAGGCCTCGCCATCAAAGCCCTCAGTCTCCTCGTTATTCCTCATTCTAAACTCTTATCTCCACGTCCCGCCCAGATATAAGAGCTGGTTCGCGGTCCCCTGGTCCTCTGAAAACAGCCAGGCAGAAAACAATGTCTCAACAAAGAACAACCCTCGTTGCAAAACGATCACCGTAAACTCCAGCCGTGTGTATGACCTACAGATCCCGAGCACAAACACTACATCCACCTCTCCGTCATCTCCAGCCCCATTCCTGCCGTCGCGCTGTGCTCGGATCCTGTTGGGAAGAGTGCTGAACGATCTCGAATGATCACGGCTGTTCTCATGGCAGTGTCCATATTTCAGTTTCTGGATGCACAGAATGTAATGTTTCTAAACGTCACGTTTTGAGTTCTTGTCTTCCCTTATGCAGGTGAAGATCGCAATACAGGACTCATCAAACGCGAAACGACACAGCAGTTTAAAGTGTCGCTATGGCAAGCCGGTTTAACCGTTATTACTTCAAACCAACCAGTTGAAACGTTTTGACATTGAATTCTATGGGAATGCTGTTTACTTATGGCGCTTTTCCACTGCGTGGTACGACTCGGCTCAGTACGGAATGGCACAGTTCGGCTCGGCATGGTTTGCGTTTCCACTGCAGTTCAGTACCGCTTTAGAGTGGGCGGGATTATTCACATGTGTCTGTTCTTCCGCAACAGACAGCAAAACTTTTCGGTTGTTAAAAAAAAGGTGCGCTCGTTCCAAACAGTTGCGTTCGATGCTTCGCTGGCTGTGCTGATTTAAATCTAGCGGTTCTTTTGTGTTTGTGTCGCAAGTTCAGTGACGCAGGTAGTGACGATTCTCTCCGGCCAATTCGTGATCAGCAGAGTTTACACGGCACGTTTTGGTAACGGTACGGTTCACTTGGAACCCCAACCGAGGTGGTACTAAAAAAAGTACCAGGTACCAGGTACTGTACCCAGTGGAAAACCCCCCAAAAGTGAACCGTACCGAGCAGTACCGTGCCATACCATGCAGTGGAAAAGCGCCATTAGGGTGACCATACGTTCCATTTTCCCAGGACGTGTCATGGCCAGGATTTCTATATTGCCTAAAATATCTAGGTTTTGGCTTTGTTTGCGTGTGCAGAATCCTGGCCAGGACGCGTCCTGGGAAAATGGCACGTATGGTCACCCTAGTTTACTATATGTTCAAATTGTGGCTAGTAAGTATTCACGCTTTACTAGTACTTGTATATTACATACTCGTAGCTAAAATTAAAAAAGATTACCAACAATTACCTACTACTCATAAGAAGTATTTGTAACAAAACTAGTTAAATGAATAAATGTTAATTCAGCTTGCCAGTTTCCAAGCTCTAGTGCGCAGCCTACCTAGAGCGTTATATTGGTACTTATCAGCTTTATACAATTAATAAGCCACTTGTAGACTGATTTAGAAATACTGTAAATACTGTCTCTATGCCGTAATATATTTTTGGTTCTCACAATAGTATACATGCTGCCTATACTAATATGTATAAATCAAATACTAATATATACACTAATAACATTATACACATACTCTTACAGATTACATATTCAAATATATGCATGTACACATTTTCATTTAACATCTCTAAAAATAATGGCTAGAGATGGGACAAGCACCGCCCCCAACTGGTTTGGTTCCCAAAATCATGCAACCATCTGAAAACTGTAGTGACTATTAAACCATGCTTCAAATGATCAATATTAAATTAAGTATTTGTAGGTCTGAAGGTACTGTAATGTGGTCTTCTAAAAAGCTGTGCATCTTGTAAAAATCAACTGACATGATAAGCAAAAAAATCAAGACAGTTGTAGTCTGGGTTTGTATTTTATTTAAGCCAGGACTGGAAAAAAAAGAGGTTTCCTTATCTTTGTTTGCATTAAAAGTTTTCACATGGCCACATACTGCATCAAGTTAAAGCCATACAATCAGACTCACTTTAAGGTATAGCACACAAACAGTCCTTTGTGTGAATAGAAAGGTCTTTCAATTCCTGTATAGAAATTTTGGAAGCCAGAGCATTTTCTCAACATTTTCTTTCTTACAGGGGTAAGTGCATATTAGAAGGATTATACAGAACAAAGCGGTCAACTTTCATCCTAGTCTGAATGAAACATATATAAAATGTGCTGTTCGTTATATAATTGCAATCATCCCCAACTGAGGGAAAGAAATCAATGAAGCTGAAGCCAAGTGAACTTGTTTCTTTTGGTGGACATCCTTAGACCTTTTATCCGTTGTGTATATCCTTTGGGAAAACAGATGGGTTCTGAGTTAAGAAGCTTTTTCAAGTACTTTAGGCATCTCAGGAGCAGCTTGTTAGTTTTTCAATTTCTTAGTCCATTAAGTAGTTTACATTTGCACCAAGCTACTATTAAAATCAGTAACTGTCAAACTTTGTGGAGGGAGGAAAAAAACAATGTTTAAATAGCTAACAATGTGTTACTTTTGATCATTTAACTAAGATGAATTAACAGTTCTTCACTTCCAGTAAAAGTTACAATGCCATGAAATAATATTAAACTCAGTTTTTGGGGGGGAAATGAGTTGTGTTTACAAGAATGTGTCAGTGATATTTATAGTTAGATTATAGTCACACAGCAAATGCAGAGAATGCAATGAAATACTTAAGTGCATTTAAGGTTTATATGAGCGGATTTGAAAGCAGGTCGAATGTTATATGTGATCAGAGGCTTCATTAGTGGCAGCCCCAATAAGTTCTTATACAATCTGAATAGATGAAAAACCTTAACCACTAAAACAAGAGGTATATAGTCCAGACTTATTGTTGTGCTTGAATATCAGCAAATGCTTTAGCCCTGCCCATCATAAATGGAAACCGTTACACAATATTATGCAGCAGAAATGTAAATTTCATTCGAGTTCCTTATCTCTAGTTTGGTATGAGATCTTTCTTTTCATATTTCTAACACAAGTTCATGCAAAACAACAGTAAACTCTACACTTCCCGTGGTCTATTCCCTTGAAGAGCTTAAAAAAAAAGGACAAAGTCTTCAAACTCTAGTGGAAAAAAAATTGGACATTGAACACAGACCACCATAGTATAAGCAGAGGATCCGTTTTGGAATGATGGCTTCTCCAGGCTCAGCCAAGAGCGGCCACCTGGGAGGAATTTAGGGCAGCTACTCGACAGACATAACATGTGGATTCTACATCTTTGGTTCCAGATTCCAATTCTCTGCGTTTTCCTTTTTCATCTGAAAATGTAATGATCATTTAAAAGCCACTTTAGCTGCTCCATTTACAGTTTCTCCACTTCAACATAAAGGTTAAAAACCTTAGAAAAAACATTACATCATGTCTGTGGATGATTTGTCAAATGAAACCAACTAACTTAGTTTCATTTTCAGCGACCAAAAAAAAAACAAAAGGAAATCCATAAACAATTAGCTTGAACCAGGAGTATGATACAGTATCAGTAGTGGAAGAAAATGTTGAGAAATGTACTATGAAGACAAACAAGGCTGTTGTATGGACTCAGAACTACCCTGAGTGAAGAGACAGAGCATGTGGAGTGACAACAGTGAACGCTACACTGAAGGCAAAGTCGTCACTTCCAGTGGGCACTGAGGCAGGGCACACGAAACAAACATGCGTCGCCTACAGGGTCATCTACAGAAATCGGGAATGTTTTACGTAAATCACTAGGCCAAAAATCTAGGCCACTGAAGTGAGCAAAGCGTGTAATTGCAGCAAAAAAGTAATGACCACAGACATGCATTTCCAAAATAAAACAAACAAAAATAAATTACATGAAGCTGGACCAAAAAAAAAATTGACTGTTAATGCTACAATGCAATTCCTTTTTTGGAGTCAAGCACCTCCACTATGACAGGCACTTGGGAGTTATACTAGGAAAGATGCTGCCCTGCCCCTCTCCTCCAAAAACAACCATAGCCAAACGAAAAAGCTGAAACTCATCAAAGCTTGTTTCATCTGAAATAGTTCTTCATAAATTGTTAAAATAATTCAATTTTATACAAAATCAAATCAAAGCTCGTATAGCAAATATTTAGCGCATATTTACATAATTCAAAGAGGTGTGGCAGCGTCTGCCATTCTTGTATGCTGAAGGCCAATGGGTATTTGTCATTAGTGTCATGACATCAGTGATGTTAACCATGTTAAGTGAAGCTTAACGTCTCACTGATAAAACAGAGAAAAAAATTAAAGCTTGATTTGCTTTCTTTTTTATAAATACATCAGCATAAATCTAACTGTTTGTACACACTATATACTTTTTGCAAGTATTTCTTGTTTTCAATTAATATATTTAGGCTTTTAGCAGTAGCTGTAGCTGATTGCAACACTTGAAGCGACTGCTCATTGAATGCAGCAGTGCGTTTCTGCTCTTGTCAGGAGGAGGAGAATGGGTGCCGTTAAAGGATCCCTAAGCTAAGCAAGGCCCCACACTTCAGAGGTTTGACTGCCTCCGTAAGGACAGAGCACCCATCACCTGACCTGCCCTATGCCACACCAAAAATTAATCGCCACAAATAAACAAACAAACATACATAGAAAGGGGTCTGGAAATGAAAACAAAGAAAAGCAGTTGCATCTTTTCAAATATCTACCTCTCTTTTCCCCACAACATCAGAGCCTATACATCTGATAGAATCCCAACACTTTCAGTAAACCACGGTCTGTTTGCTGATTGACACACAAGGTGGGGGGAATTTTGGTCATGAATAGCTTTTTTTTTTCTCCTTTATGTCATTACATGTTGATTTCCAGAGTGGACAATGCTGTTTGCGCTCTCATGCCTCGTTCTCTGTCGGGGTGAACCAGATGCAGACCGGACAGGAGACTCCTATGCACACACACACACAAAAAACAGGTGTTAGGGAAATGCAAAAACAATTCAGAAGATTTATATTTCCCACTACATGAAATCAGCAATCAAAAGAAATCTAAAGTACAATAAAACAAAAAAAAAAGGATTCAGTGGCTTTTGTAAAAGCATAAAACTTTAGTCTCACAACATGATCACAGAATCCTCAAAGCAGCATAATAGTATCACACTTAAAATTGTGAGAGGTCTGTGTGGTGTCTGAAGTCACACTTACTGTTCCTCTTGTTGGTGTGGCCGGCTGCTTGGCTAACATCGACTGTAATAAAGTGACAGAAGACATGAGAGCTGAAATATTGCTGTGTAAAACGGTCATAACTAAAGCTATTTCATTATTTTTAACTATGTACACTACCATTTAAAAGTTTGGGGCCAGTCATTTCTTAAAGTCCCCCTGTAGTGAAAATCAAGTTTTTAATGTTGTTTATTTGTCTATATGGTGTTTTTAATATGCCTTTAGACAAACCATGTGCCAATCTATTAATCAACACCATTGCGGAGTATTTTCTCCTTAAAACTGTAGTTTCCCAAAGGCTGACCCAGAAATACGGTTTGAAACAGCCCTCGGTTTGCTACATCACAAACCAATAACCAATCACGTCAAGGGATCGATTCCTATCACTAGCATGCAAAATATACCAATACCAGCACAAAACCAAAAATAAATTAAAGCAAAAAACCCATGAAGCTGTGGTTTAATGTGAATTTAGAACCGCTAACTTGCACTATAACCCGCGGCAACAGTGTAAAAGTAGCCCGGAGTCAGACGCACCTCTCCCGCATCGGCATCTGCACTTCACACGCGTATGTATGCTCGCGGGCGCAAATTAAGAATTACAAATGGCTGTATTCGAGTCTTCAAGGCATTTTAGGACACAACATCGTCAAGTAAGTAACTTTAACGAAAAAAGAAAAATGTAATAAGCAATGATGAATCGGATTGATTAAAAGTGGAACTAAATACATTTATAAAGTTACATAAGACTTCAATTTCAAATAAATGCTGTTCAATTTAACTTTCTATTTAAGGGGAAAAAAATAATATAGAAAACAGTTATTTTAAATTGCAATAATATTCCATAATACTGTTTTTATTGATTTTTTGAGCAAATAAGTATCTAGCTGAAAGACGTTTGCATGCAGTGTCACACACAGTAATCTTTTCATTTCAAAAAAGACAAAATATCAACAGAGGTGACTAATATTGTGTTAAAGACCATTCTTAATAAAAACACCCTTGCATAAACAGTATACACAATTGACTCAACCACATGGAACCATTCAGGATATGACAAGACCCCCAGTGAAACTACTGAGAATGTGCCAGCAAATAAGAAGCTGGCTTGCCATGACCATTAAAAAGAAATAATTATTTTAAAATAACCAAATATTGTGTATGTAAACAGTTATACTGAATATCGACCCTGGGTCAGTAAATGAAAAAAAAATGCTGGCTTCACCAATTCCTGAATGGTCAGACAACTCTGGAACCACGAGGGAAAATAAACAAGTCAAAAGGGTTTCATTGTATCTAATCAAACTAATGAGGGACAGCGGGACAGCTTTGTGAGGGATGCATGTCAACGTCAGAGAAGAGATCACTTGATTTCGGCTGCCTTTCAAATGTGTAACCTCAGCACTGAATGAAGAAACCTGATATTAAATCTGTAATCCATTTTCTTGCAGACCAAACATACCTGCTGCTTCATGAGGAAGATCTGCTCATCCTCTGCACTGATTTCCTTGTCATGCACCAACTTTGGAAACACAAAAAGGACAAATAGGCATATGTTATATACGTACTAGCAGATTAAGGTCAAATTTTCATTCCTAGGTTCTTTTCTCACCTTTCGTACAGGAGGTTTCGTTATAAAATCCTCAAAGGGATCTTCAGGTCGAACCGTTGTGAAGTTTTCATGCAAGATGGCAATTTTCTTGTCATTGTCCCATCCAGATGGACTATGCAGAGATAAAAGTGTTTTAAAAGAAACCAGTTTGGCAGACTAACACCAAATTGAATTAGACATGGATATTCTCACATAAAAATAAGAAATGCAACATTTTTAGGGAATTTTGGAGATCTCACATGAACACAGCATCCTTCTCCACTACTAAGGCAGGCGTAGTAAACTGGAAGTCATATATTTTGTGCACCATGAATTTGTAGAGAAGGTCCAGGTTCTTCTCCTCTTTGACTGAAGTGTAAATCAAACCAGCTCCATCTGTGAGATTTGATTAAGGATGTGTATACTGTCAATTTTTTTATTTTATTTTAACAGGAATATATATATATATATATATATAAATTTAATTTTGTAATTTAATATTAATATTTAATTCATTCATTTTGTATTAATTGTATTATAAATCGTATAAATTTTACTGTAATAAATGTTGTTTTATGCAAGTAAAAACAATGAACTGCTGTATAATTTATGATGATAAACAGCAAAAGAACATTCCCTGCATGACACATCACAAATGATTATATTCTATGTAAATAATTTGGTTCGTTCTAATTTCTGAAGCAAGTCATGAGCATTAGGGTGTTGTGTGTTACATTTTCTGTTTCTGAGTTAATGTTTATAGCATTATTTTAGCCTCATGTGGGTTACCATGATAGTGTTTTGTCTTTGTATGTCCCGTTGCACCGTTTATTCACAATTACTGGCTATGTTTTACGGACAGGCCACTTACAATGAACTCCGATTCATCATGTGACTTTCTATTTTACCACCTGTATTATTATGGTGGTTACCAGAACATTTTAAAGGTAAAAAGCAGATTATGGTAATTCAAGTAGGTTGGTATATTGACATTATATCACTTACTAAAATATACAGTCATCACCAATAAACAATCCCAAAATACCTGAATTATTATGGTGAGTTTCTGGAAACCACAGCTGCCATTTATAACCACAAATTTAACAAAATGTTTCTTTAAAGTCTAGAAAAAAGAGAAATATTACATCAGCAAAACTGCAGAGACTGAGTGAATAGGATACACTGTAGACAGAAGCGCCGGATGTGTGACTGAATGAAGTCAAAATGCTCCTCCTTGTAGTCGTGCTCCTTCTCCAGTACACTGACAGCATCACACTAAAACACAGAGACAGACATAATCAGTTTTAGGCGCAGTATATTTGACATTATATTAGAATTGAACAACACAAGGGTGAGTAAATTACAGAACTGCCATTTTTGGGTGAATCATACATTTAACATCATTGATCTCCTGCATTAAATAAAAGACACACCATCCTAAAAACAAGCAAACACATGCTTAATAGGACTGATGCAGCAGCCATGTTTGTGAATGACTCAGGTTGTGGCTGATTGCCAGCCATAATCGTTTTGGCAGGAAGAGGAGGTGCCAAATAGGCTGCTTAAAAAAAATCCAGGAGGCTGCCATGACAAAAATATCTTGGACAGATCAGTCTTGGCCACTGCAAATGCAAACTCATCTCTGCATGTCACAGATACTGCTGACCTTGTACTGAACCACAGGGTATACTAAAAACATCCTGTCTTTAGCACTGAAAATAAATGTGATAAAGCAATGGCAATATATTAATGCAGTAAATTAAACCTAATCTTGATATCTTGAAGATATTTTGAAAAATGTCTTAGTGTTTTGTTTTTATTCTTGACCATACAAAGAAAGTTAATGGGTTCCAATGTTGTTTGAACCTCATCATTCTTTGAAAAATCTTCTCGTGTTGTGCAAAAGTAAGAAAGTCATACAGGTTTGGATGAGTACTATGAGGGTAAGTAAATGATGACAATTGACATTTTTATGTGAACTATCCCTTTAAAAGGTTTCGTAGTATGCCAGCGAGTTGCTGCTGTTAGCAGATCAGTAATGATGATACTAATGCATATTGATAAGAGCGAATTTTGTGCTTTCAAGTAAACTGGAAACTGGAACTGCTTTCTGAAATTCAATCAGGCTCTATTCTCCTCTATCCCAGGGTGAGGCTGTTTGATCACTTTGCCTCCTGACGTTGAAGAGAACAAAGAGTGAACATTTTACTCTCAGACCTAAACTACCTCATTTAAAAACGGGTTGTCTTTCATGCACCCGGGGCTGGAGGGAGGCTAACAATAGAAGAGATCATTGAGCGTGTTCTGATCCAAAAGAGCATGTGAGGTGGGGCATGGTGCGTCTGCAGCTCTGGACCTGCGGGCTACTACTGAGACGCCATAAAAAGAGCTTTTCATCCAGCTAAAGACACTCAGTGATGCATCAGAAACAACAAACCCAATCCCCAAACACAGAGCAAAACAACTCAAAATATCCACTCAAATTTCACAAATTGTACATCTAATCACGTCTTAGTGTTTTGTTTTTATTCTTGACCATACAAAGAAAGTTAATGGGTTCCAATGTTGTTTGAACCTCAACATTCTTTGAAAAATCTTCTCGTGTTGTGCAAAAGAAAGAAAGTCATACAGGTTTGGATGAGGACTATGAGGTACTCATAGTACCTTGTTACGTACAGTAACTTAACATATTTACAGTAAACAGTGTCAGCTGCTACATCATACAGTTGACGACCGTAACAGAAGCATCAAACCATTACATTACACATTACTGTTTACATTAAACAAACCATATGTTATTCAGCAAAACTGATTAAAAATTAACCGTAAAGATGTGCTATATGTTACAAATTTATTTCATATAAATGAAATGTATTTATCAAAGAATGATGAATCAAATAATCATGGCTTCCCCAAAAATATTATGCAGTAAACTTTTTTATTAGAAATGTTTCTTGAGCACTAAAATCAACATATTAGAATATTTTCTGAACAATCATGTGACACTGAAGACAGTAATGGCTGTGAAAATTCAGCTTTGACATTACGTTTTAAAATATTAATTTTAAAGCGTAATGCTACTTCACAGCATTATTTTGTACTGTTTTACTGTGTTTTTTAATCAAATAAATTTTGCCTTGGTGAACATAATACTCAATCGAAAACATTAATCTTACTGACCCCAAACTTTTATAGTATTGTTTATACACACACAATTCCTGAGACCAGATTAAAAAGCATGCTTTAATAATGTGATTGTAATGGAATATGTACTACATTCACTATGCTGATCTCAAATATGCTGACCGAACTCTTATTAAGGTAATATAACACCTATAGGACCCAATATGACAGGTCAAATGATTTGATCACTTTCAGCTACCTTTGTGCAAACTATGAGCACTGGAATACCCAGGTTGTGTGTGAGGACGTTGTCTCCCAGGGGCAGCAGCACACTCTCATCTTCTCCCCCAGCTGCTGGAGCTCGTCTCTGGGGTGAGGCCGGCGTGGATTCCTCTGGTTCTACATACTCCTGAAAGGCCTTAACCACTGCAGAGAAAAGAACAAGACACAAACAGGGTCAAACGTACAGTAACTTAACATATTTACAGTAAACAGTGTCAGCTGCTACATCATACAGTTGACGACCGTAACAGAAGCATCAAACCATTACATTACACATTACTGTTTATATTAAACAAACCATATATTATGATGTTTGAAAGTAATAGGTAACTTCATAAACAGGGAAGCTCTACCCATGCTTAACAAGTAAGAACCATTGAAGTTTGCTCTCAAGCATCAAGCAAGCACACTTGAAAAACCGTTTACCATAATTCATGAACTCCATGTATTTGCATAGATCAAAATTAAAGCTGCTGAGTCTTAAACCACTCAATTTATATGAATTACTTTCACGATATCTTTTTGTAATTTCTGAAGCGTCAACATTTTGAATGTGTTTAAATGGACAGACAAAAATGATTAGCAATTAGTTAATATAAGAAGAAACGTCTAGCTTCGCAGTCTCTCTCTCTCATTTGGATTCACGTCTTGCCACATTGTTTCTCTCTTATAACCTCATTATTTCTGTCAACTTGAGCTTTGAATCCGTGGCGGAAGGAAGTAGTTCCACACAAAAGATGGTTTTATTAGACACTCCGTTGTTTCTTGTTTAATTGCACACATGTTCCGTCGAACTGTTGTATAAACGCAATATCACTCTCGTACTCGAGCGATACCGGCTCTATATCAGCATGGCTGTGATTATGGCGGAGGCAATCACAGCCGCTGATATAGAGCCGGTGATATAGTACGCTGATAAAGAGCTGGTGATATAGTACGAGAGTGATATTGCTCATATATATATATATATATATACACACACACACACACACACATTTGACGTGAACAACATGAGATTGAATAAATGAACAAATTTCATTTTTGGGTGAACTATCACTTTAAGTCATAAATAGCCTTAACCAACAAAAATCCATACAAATATAAAGAACATCCACAGAATTAGGACATTCCAGTCAGATTACATAAAACAGACAATTTGTACCAAAAAGAAAGTGGGGGGAAAAAAAGATTCTCATTACAAAAATAATAAATAAATCTTAGCATAAGCAAGAATTTGTAGCATGGTTTTAACCCAACAGTTTATTATCTGTTGTGTAACTTAAACTGCTGAAATCATGACTTGTTCTGGACACATCTGAGCAGCCGAGGCCTGTGGAAGAGCAGCTCAGATGTGAACAGAGCTGACAGCACATTCTTAAGACCCTGTCTGATCCCTGCACAAGCCCTCATCCTCACACAGCACTACAGAACATGCTAACTGCAACCAAAAACAATGGTATTCACTGCATGTCGGGCTAATATACAGGAGTAGCCTATATGGAATTGGGCATGATGGTGATATGCGGAAGTGGGTGGTTGGAATGGCCTTTAATCGGTGGTATATTCAGGAGGTGCTGAGGGAGGGAAAGGGGGAGGAACTTCCTCAGGAACCTTAAGAATGCAGTTCCAGATGACCCAGAAACCAGGCAAGCTGCACAACTTCCTTCAACGTACTGTTAAAAGAACAACAGCTCCAGTGCTGCTGGAATAATAGACCACAACTATCTTAAAAGCAGAGTTAAAATACATTAATGTTAAAAAGTTTGGGGTCAGTGATGTTCTTTAAAAAAAAAAAAAAGAAATTAATACTCTGCAAGGACACAGTAAATTGATACTGAAGATTGGAGTACTGGCTGCTCCAAGAATTCAGCCTTACTATCACAGGAGAAAATTACATTTTAAAATTGTATTAAGATAGAAAGCTTTTAATTCCATTTGTAAAAATATTAGTTTTTACTGTATTTTTGATCAAATAAATGCAGCCTTGGTCAACAAAAAAATACTTATTTACAAAAACATTTAAAAAATATTTCCGACCCAAAACTTTTGAATAGTCGTGTATAATCAGAAACAAAGTAATTACTCACAAATCCCTCTTTTACCAGGTTATAATTAGAGCCCGACCGATATATCGTTTTGCCGATATTATCGGCCGATATGAGCCTGTCGCCGATATATCGGTATCGGCGAATATGCCGCCGATATTAATTTTTTTTTTACAGAACATATAATGCAGATAAAATGCTTGAAATGGTGTAATTACTTAGTTTGTCCAGCAGAGCGCGCTCCATTGTTTGCTACTGGCAACCTGGATGAAACGCTTTAAAGCTTAAGTCTATGGGAAACCATTGAAACTTTGAACGGCCATATCTCCGTAACGGCGCGGCGAATCCCCAAAAAACCCATATCGGTCGGGCTCTAGTTATAATCACACTCAATTACCCACACCCTGTGATGTGGAGTGCATACATGTTTCCACAAGAGCCGGTGATCAACATAATCTTGTGCATTTCCAGAAAACCAATAAACAGCTGTGTTACAAATGCTTTTTGACAAAGAGTCCATTAGGAAATTTTAATTAGTTCCAGAAGGCAAAGGAAGTGATTCTTCTTAAATGATAATAGCCAATAGGCAAGAGTTCATATACACATTTTTGAATAATACCCCTGATTCTAATGCTCCATGTTACCTCCACAGTTCTCAACAAACTCAGTCTGAAAAACATAGTGAACATTTTTTAAACAACTTGATCAGCCTGTTTTCACAAGACAGTTAAAGCTGTGGTAAAGATTTAATCTATAACCACCAACTTTCTTAATCAATATGGCCTACTGTAATAACCTCAATCAAATGAAGAACCAGTTTACAATCGCCATCTACTGTCGACTTTGACCAGCTTCCACAAACAAGGGTGGGGACAGTCAACAGAACACACACTTCCAGAGTGCATCAGGTATGAAGCTATCAGAGTGCCAAGTGCATCTAAAAATCATGATGCCAATACCAATTAAATAGTGCTGTTTTTGTAAAAAAAAAAAAAAACAGTTACCTGGCCACATTTAGCCTTTGAACAACACTAAAAAGGATTTCCAAAGTACATCGTCATCTCTACACTTAAACTAAACATTCAGATAATGTGTTAGCTGACTAAGAGCTGTGAGATGTTATGTTTCAGCACAGTGGGCAGAGTTGTGCTCGGGTGTTGTGCTCGTGCCATGTTTAGAGCAACGAGTCGAATGTCAGGAAGGTCTAACTGAGCAGACCATGATGTAATGTCTTGTAAGAGAGGCTGGACTGTCCATCCCATCACTGAGTACGGTCAGATGTAAGGAGTGAGAGGAGGCTGCCTGCTTGTGCTTCCTATAGTGAACTCAGCTGTGCTTAAGGAAGCAATGGCTCTTTTTCTGGGCGGGTCAGTTTTACAAAGCTATGGGCGGCTTGCGGCTTAGTGTGTTTGGATACCAATTCAACACATCCAACATTTGGCACTGTAGGATGTGAACTTGGGGGAAAAAATGCATTTATTTATACAGTAAAAACAGTAATAGTGTGAAATATTACTACAATGTAAAAACTTTTCTGTTAAAAATTATTTTCAATTGCAATTTATTTCTATAACGGAAATATAGATCTTTTGTAATATTATAAATGAAAAAAAATTAGAAGCATGAATGCCATACAATAAGATGGTCACACTGTGACATACAGAGCTAGCGATTCAGGTAACCGTTGAGATGTGTTGTAAAACCACTGGTCTCAATATTTCAAACACAAGCTAAAAAACAATACCATTGCCATTAAGCCACTTCCCCATTCTGCTCTCACAGCCCTGTTTATAGGGCACACGCAAATACAGTCATCCTCAGAAATAGCTTCTCACTTCATGTTTGAGCACTCTGCCTCTCACATAACACTACAGAAACATTCAGACTTCTCAAACGCTACCGGAGCAGCTTTATGTCTTCACACAGTAAAACATCTGAAGTCATCAAATACTTGGTCATATCATTAACATCATTTTTCAACAAATCATTTATTTATAATAACTAAGTGAGTTTTAAACTTAAATCAAAATATTAACTTCAATACCTGAACACTAGTGTTCAGAAGTTTGATTTATTTAAATTACTATTCAGCAAGGATACTTTAAATTGACCAAAAGCAACAGTGAAGACATTTATAAAAAAAAAAAAAAAGTTAAAAAACAAACAAACAAGTAGTTCTTTTTATTCAAAGAATCCTGAAACAAAAACGAATCACGGTTTAGACAAAATTATTAAGCACCACAAATGTTTTCAACATTGATAAGAAATATTTCTTAAGTTTTGCTACCACAGGAATAAATAACATTTTAAAATGTTAAAATAGAAACAGTCACTTTATATTGCAATAATATTTCACAAATGTTTCAGTTTTTATTGTATTATTGATCAAAGAAATGCAGCTTTGATGAGCATGGGAGGATGATTTCAAAAGCATCAAAAAAATAAAAAAATCTTACCAACCCCAAACTTTTAAACCATTCTGTATCACCAAATTCAAGGGTTTTTGAAAACATGAAAACACTGTAACTAACACTAGTGAGGCAGCATTTGTGATCACTCCAATTCTAACAGCAAGAGTCTAACAAGAAAGAAGAAAGTGAAAGTGACATGTGGCCAAGTATGGTGACCCATACTCGGAATTAGTGCTCTGCATTTATCCCATCCTAAGTGCACACACACAGCAGTGAACACACACACACCGTGAACACACACCCGGAGCAGTGGGCAGCCATTTTTGCTGCGGCGCCCGGGGAGCAGTTGGGGGTTTGGTGCCTTGCTCAAGGGCACCTCAGTCGTGGTATTGAAGGTGGGAGAGAGTGCTGTACATTCACTCCCCCCACCTACAATCCCTGCCGGTATGAGACTCGAACCTGCAACCTTTGGGTTACAAGTCCGACTCTCTAACCATTAGGCCACGACTTCCCCGAAGAAATACACTGATAACCACCAAATGCAAGTGGTGATGAGAAAGTCACATGATGAACCAAAGCCCATCACAAGCAGCTTTAAAAAAAAAAAATGCATTATGCATTAATTTGCAACATGCATTATGCAAATTCAAAGCACAAAGAGTGCTTCATATCCAGACTGTCAATAAACCATCCTCCAGTGCAGCCAGTCCTACTAACTCTCATAATAAATGTGGATTAGGACTCATGGACTCAGTAACAAAATCAAACTTTTTTAAAGGGGTCATATGATGCGATTTCAATTTTTCCTTTCTCTTTGAAGTGATACAAGCTCTTGGTGCATAAAGAAGATCTGTAAAGTTGCAAAGACTAAAGTCTCAAATCCAAAGAGATATTCTTTATAAAAGTTAAGAGTCAACCACGCCTACCTAAAATGGCTTGTTCTAACACGCCCCCACATGTCTACGTCACGATGTGGGAAGATTTGCATAACGCTGCACAAATGTTCACGCAAAGAAAGAAGGCGTAACTTTTATTCTCGTAGTATTGTTGCTGCCGCCATGTTGTGAAGACGCTGTGTGTTTCGTTGTGAAAGCGAAACTACTTTGTTTGGCCTTCCAAAAG